TGTATGTTTTTATGTACTTAGATATGTACACTCATTACTTCATGTGAAATTCCGTTGACACATTTTGCTTTATGTCAAAGAGAGTCAATCTGTCGAAGAACTGACGCGACGACAAAGCGTCACAACATTGTGTTGTTAGAAACGAGATGTGCCATACACACTCTTCAAACATACATCGCATATGGAAGTGCTAAAGTCAATGTGTGTACAAAATGAATATACGTAAATTCTTTGACAAATACAGTCAATCCGGTTAAGTGCCAAAACAAAGATGATTTTTATTAGATTAGATTAGATATTAGATTATTTCTATGTATTTAAAAATTACCGTTGTCTTTAAAAATAAGAAAACAAGTGAGATGCAGCAAGACAACGGCAGATAAGAGGGATTGAGGAGTGATACTTAACGGGGTTTACTGTATAATAAATCAGAGGAATATTGAATATTTTCTTTAAAAGTTTCTTGAATTGTAAATCGACAAATTTACTATGTTGTCACTTTATTCTAAAATATTTTTATACTCATATTTGAGGGTTGTCACTTTTCCCTTCTAGAGGGAATATCAGAAATTTGTTCAATTTATGATTTTAGCTGCCATCGTCGCGAAAAGACGCTTGTAGGCAAACGCATGCTCGGGAGATGTGTAGGTGTTTGCTTTTATGAAGAAACGACTTAGCGCTTGTGCGCCAGCGTTGCGAATGAAAATGTTGTTGGTGTGTGATTTACTACAATTTTAGGATTTGTCAATTTGGCTGCCATATTGATTTCTGGTGCTGATGCTATTTGAGACAATTGTTGTTTTGTACAACAATGTTTGTATTTTCCTATTGGCTGACGTACTCATTTGTACGCTTAATATCGGTTTTGTACATACATACTATATAGAGCAGTGCGCTCAATGTATTATTATTGATAATTTATATTATTATATTATATAATATAACATATTGATGTACATACATAAATTATTAATTTGTAAAATGAAATTAGAAAATTATGAAAATAGTAAAATATCATTTTGCATAATCTTTCACATTTTATCAATGTAGCATTTGGGCAAAAATAATAATTTATCAATTTTCATCATAAAAATCGTTAGGCAAAAATAATCATGCATATGTGAAGTGGCATTTGTATTTCTTGTTTTCTCATTCATTTCATTTCATTTCTCTTTATATTGGTAGATACGTATTTTGTCAGAGAACGTTGTTAAAATTCTCATTTCTGTTAAACAACAGCAAACTATACAGAAAGTGGTGAACTCCTTGATCCTCAAATTTCAGCAACCAATTGAGCATCATCAAAATTCAATTTGCATTGAATCTCATTTTGCTCTGGATGAACGCTGGCGCCAACAAGCGTCGCTCATCATAAGCGCAAACGCCTTACATCTCCCGCGCCTGGCTGCTTGCCTACAAGCGTCTTTTCGCGACGATGGCAAAAGCTAAAATCATAAATTGACAAATTTCTGATATTCCCTCTAGAAGGAAAGTGACAACCCTCAAATATGAGTATTAAATATTTTAGAATAAAAGTGACAACATAGTAAATTTTGATTTACAACAAGAAACTTTTAGAAAATATTCAATATTCCTCTGATTTATGATACAGTAAACCCTTTGCTAAGCGAATACGTAATGAAACGAAGTAATACCGTATATTTCAAATGGCATATAAATATTCCCAGTTTGGCATACATATTATAATATATTCTCTTCAATATTCGTCGGTTGGTTATGTTAAGAGAGCGTATGTGTACAGCTTCACCGCTGTTATAAAAGCGAAAAATGTTATTTGTTTCTCGTGCATCTGTGGTGAACTCCTTGATAAATTCCTACAAATTGTTCGCTGTCGAACCTGCACCTTCTCATTGTTTTAAGTTCTCTGATTAAACTACATTCCTTTTATTTACATCTCTGTGTCAAAAAAGGCAGATTTCGATCAAGTGAGCTCATCTGTGTAACACACATAGGAAAACAGCTGATTCTTTTGTTACTTGCAGGACTATACAATGCTTGGAAGCGACAGTTATAGTAAAATCGATGAAAATATGAGGTCCGAAAACTGATGTGCAGCATTTACGAAAAAAGTTCGGGCTCATTGGAGCTTCCAATCTCATGTAAGCAAAAGTTGTAATGACATACTGGATTTTATTATTTTTATTTTTGGAAATTGTTCGAATTTTTCACGCCTAAGCTCACTTTTCAAGGCAAGCATTAACTTAACAAGTTGTACTAACCTGTAGGATGTGTACGGTGAAAGTGGAGCCAAAAACGCTTTAAATGTAACACCTTTGACTTGACCCTCCACATATTGTCTGGCGCCCTGTGACCACAAAGAAGAAGTAAGTTATAATAATTAAATTACTATTTCTGTGCAAAATTTCTATTTACTTAACATGATACATTATTCTCTTTAGCGAAGTTATGCAGCTACATAAATACATACATATATTATATGTAAGTCGTCTTCTATTACTACAAAATAAGTATACCGTAATATAACATTTTGAATGATTTATTTAGTGTTTATATAATGTGAAGGGAATTTTATACAATTCCTGTTTTTCAACCCTATTAAAGAACACACATTCATAAGTCTACAATCGGCAACAGATTCACACTCAAAGGTAAAGGATTCAAAACATTTTTTACGTATTCGCAGAGCATATTTATGAACACTACTTCAAAAAATTTACTTGTATGTGGAAACAGACTAACCAAAAAGAATAATTTGAAATTTATCGAGAATTGTAATTGCAAAGAATAATATAAATCGGGTGTCGTTGAAAGCTGTATTATTCTCGTTTTGTTATAAATATATGGAGCCTAGGGGAAGTTTTGAACCGAATTTATCAATTTTAGGCTTCACTACACATTATTACCAGGAGAAAATTCTCTCTAAAACATAAAAATTTATTTCACAGATTGGCCCATATTTTTCGGTAAAAAGTCGACAACTGCGGTACCTAAAGGCTTGAAAAACTATGACCTACAATAATATCGAGACTTTGGTATATGTTACTCATATATTCATTTACCATATATCCTACTAAAAATTTTCAGTTAACCAAAACTATCTATGTCACACGCATAGGCAGCGAATCAGTAAGCCAATTCTTGCTTTTATCGTTCCCGTGATTTTCCAGAATAAGTTTTGTGTTCAATTCAGCGCACATGGTGTTAATTTTCATGCACTACTCGTGGTAGAGCTGAAAAAATATCGATATTCGGACCACTCGATAGTATCGATAGTTTTTCCCTTGAAATCTGCTTACTTTTCGCTGGTTTCAATGGACAGACCTTGGATTTGTACTTTTAATTTTTATGAAATAATCTTTGGATTTATTTATAAAACAAAACATAAACAATGACGGAAAATATAAAACATTAATAAAGCTACTTATACAATTTTTCATGTTACTATTTATATAAACTGCTCTAAGTGTTGACTAGTGATAAAAACGTACATTTTTTTTTACTAATGTAATATGAGATCAAGGAATTTATATATAAAATACGTTTCGGTACTGGCGGCTTCGCTCGCATTAAATCGCTTCAATAAATATCAAAGATCATTGCGTTGAAAAAAAGTTGTATATGACAATTGCAACATATAACGAAATTTTAAAAACTGAAAGCATGCCTTATTGAAAAAATTTACTACAACAAAAGTAAAAATATATTTCAGCATAGTATAATTCTAAAATGTTTTTGTATACTTTGTTGTAAGTTTTTACGTCCGGTGCAAAAATGGCTCAATTACGCGCATTTGACACTCGGGAACAGGCTAGGATTATATCTAGTTGACCGTGAGAGAAGCACAGCTTTTCTATATACACCCTTACTACCTGTCATGTCTGCTTTTATGCTTTGTTTATAGTAACAGCAAAGCTGAACTTGAAGGTAAACTGAATAGATTTTTAGTTTTTTCTTTATCTTAAACTTTAACACTAAATAATTTTGGTTTTAAATATTTTTAATAAAAACTATCCTATGTCCTTTCTATTTCCATTATGTATATGTGTACAATCTTCTTTTCGATTAACTAATGGTTTTGGCGTGAAAGCGTAACAAACTAACTTCATAATATTAGTATAGATATGGATTAGTATGGATATCTACCTCGATTAGTTTAAGGTGTTACAAACAAGTGTCTAAGAGCCAGTGGATGGCTGTATGTAATTTTCCAAAGGTGATCTTTTGCTTAAATATTTTCCTATACCTCCTCACATGAGATCGGGAGCAACTAAGCCCAGAGAAGGTGGCTATGAAAATGAAGTGGAAAAGATGTCAACTTCAATCCATTAAGGTATGTATATTAAATATTGACTCATATTTATAATATAAAATCTGCTATTTGCAACAGCCACCTTTCATCAGTTGAAGTGTATGATTTAAGGAGCTTTACGTCATGGGCGCATAATAAAATTTTTGAGAATTCTATTACTGAAGAGATATCGTTAATAAACAACAAGAACAGAATCGAGCCAAGATATCTACCTTGCGAAACACCTAAAGAGACATTAATTGTATCTGAAAAAGTATCCCTAAATATCACTCGTTGTATTCTATTATAGAGATAAGTAGGTATTCATTGAAGAAATCTTCTCTTTTGCTTTGTAGGACACAAAACTAATTTCTTTATCAAAAGCAAACATTGGTCCACATGAGCGAAGTTTTGTTTCCAACAACTCTGGAAGTATTTCTGCTTTATTTTTGCGGAGCATTCCAACAATTTTCACTTCTCATGGATTGGCCAGTTATTTTGATGCCATTAGAATACTGGTGAACTAATTATCCAATGTAAAGTTCTGATGGCTTCCATTTATAGATTTTGTTAGAGTTTCAGCAAAATTGTTTGCTAATGGAGCACCGTGGGTTTTAGTGCACTTAACTAGATACGGACTTGATTTTGAAACATATTTGACAGCTACAGAGCATTACAATTTTTATGCCATATTTGTTCGGCTTATTTGGCATATACAATACATTTGAAATGGGCATCTACCGCGAAACCCAACAAGTTGTTCGTCGATTGTCACATTCGAGCCAGGCTTGTTACTCCAGAGAACTTAAAACAAAAATGAATTAACATAAAATAATTTAAAAAATAATAAATAATAGTTCAATAAAAGGGAATATATTTCAAATGGCATATCAATATGCCCAGTTTTGCTCACATATTATATTCTCTTCAATATTCGTCGGTTGGTTATGTTAATAGAGCGTATGTGTACAGATTCACCGCTGTTATAAAAGCGAAAAATGTTATTTGTTTCTCGTGCATCTGTGGTGAACTCCTTGATAAATTCCTACAAATTGTTCGCTGTCGAACCTGCACCTTCTCATTGTTTTAAGTTTTCTGGTTACTCTTTGTATAGTTATCAATTAAAATATACCAGATCGTAGAATTAGGAGCAAAAATGTTTACCTTACTGGACTCATCTCTTGTCATGGAGTCATCAAATCTTGAAGCTCTTAATAAAAAATGGAACTTTTTCTGGCTCATCGTTACTTTGTACCTGTGGCCTGAGTAAGTATTGTCAAACAGAATATCAAATCAGAGACGGACTGCTTAATTCCGTTTTGATCTAAAGGTTTAAACTAATTCTTCTTCAAATGTTGACTCGCCCAATTGGTGGGAACATAGTTATGATCACTGAAACTGTCATCTATCGAAGTCCTTTTCCTCTACGACGCCGTCATCAGTATCAATGTTGTTTAATAGTAATTCTACATTTCACAATTTCACTCTAGAATAAAAAAAATGGCTTGTGCAAGACTACGTAAAACTTGCGTACAAGTTTTTACACGTTTTTAGTAAAACCAAGTCAAATTTACGTACACTTTTTTATACAGGTATTTTTTTATATAGGTTGTGAAAATCAATGGATATACAAAACTAACACAAAAAATCACCAAGAATTAAAAACGGGCGCGATTTAACACAAACTAAGAGAAAAAATCAACATGTAGCACGGGAATTAAATCCCCCAAAAGCGCGGGGAGGAGGACAGTAACGCACAGGAAACACGCCGAAGGAAAAAATTAGAACAAAGGAAAACGAGAAGAAGCATAACGTAAGTATTACAAGTACTCCCAAAAACCCTTGGCGGAAAAACAGTGAGTTCATTTCAATTAAATTTGAAAATAGAGGCATTTTATGCACATATGTATGTACATACTTATGTATTCTAATTTAAAGTTTTCGGTATTTCGTTGGAAATAAATAACAGAACAAAAAAACTGAAAAAGAAAAAAATATACGGTATCTGCCTAAGCTTATTTTGTGTCTCCAAACACACCGTTATATTCTTCCAAAAAAAAAAAATTGCAAGTCATATTCCTACTTATAATATTTCCAGCGGTACCCTTTGGGCTAATCAAGCACTGTGCAATGTGTAAGTTATTTTTTTATTCGTACTTCCTTTTAGTTACCGCAGAATTATGTTTGAATATTTATGAGCGTTGTGAGTGGTAGCGACGGTGTTGTCGACTACCCATGAACTATTTAAAGAATATTCCGTTTATCCGGTAGCGATGGTGTTGTCGACTACCACGGAACTATGTTATTTTAAATAAACACAATTTGAGTTCCGTTCTAAAACTGTTTTATTAAAATTACATTTCCCTTATTTATAACGTACTATTACTATTGCCGCTACTGCCATAGACGCTGCTTTTCTAAATTTCTGCTGACGCCTAAGCTTGTGTAAGCAGAGAACTTAAAACAATGAGAAGGTGCAAATTGAATTTTGTATGATGCTCGATTGGTTGGCTGAAAATTTGAGATCAAGGAGTTCACCACTTTCTGTATAGTTTTGCTGTTATTTAACAGAAATGAGAATTTTTAACAACGTTCTCTGACAAAATACGTATCTACCAATATAAAGAGAAAAATTAAATGAAATGAATGAGAAAACAAGAAATACAAATGCCACTTTACATATGCATGATTATTTTTTGCCATATAAACGATTTTTATGATGAAAAATTGATAAATTATTATTTTTTTGCACAAATGCTACATTGATAAAATGTGAAAGATTATGCAAAAAATGATATTTTACTATTTTCATAATTTTCTATTTTCAATTTTTACAGAATTAATAATTTATGTATGTACATCAATATGTTATATTATATAATATAATAATATATTATCAATTATCAATAAATACATGTGAGCGCACTGCTCTATATGTAAGTATGTATGTACAAATATGCATATGACCGCGCAAAATAAGTAATGCATACACAAATCTACATACATTTAAGCGTACAAATGTAAGTACATCTCTCTCTTTCAAATCTACATACATTTAAGCGTACAAATGTAAGTACGTCAGCCAATAGGAAAAATACAAACATTGCAATAAAACTTGATAAAGGAAATTTATCAGAACATTTATTATTAATTTTAACTCTAAATGTTCGATTTTATTGAAAACTTCTTAAAAATTAAATATACTTGTATGTATACCAACGTTCCATTTTATTAGTTATTGAAAAACAACAGTTGAAAGAACGTGGTCGAAATGTAAAAGCACGTCCGATGCAGCAGATGATTTTTTTGTTATTATATAGATATTTGAGGATATTGGAAGGTAATGCCCCTGCTTAGATCTTCCTTACTTGTTTAATATAAAGTTTTGCCACACCTGTAGGATTTTCGCGAGCTCTGATTCGTGTTCCGAAAATATGTGAGTATTTTTATACTCTCGCAACATGTTGCTACAGAATATACAAGTTTTGCTCACATAACTGTTGTTGGTATCATCTAAAACTAATCAAGTCGTATATATATAAATGATCAGGATGTAGAGACGAGTTGAAATCCGGGTGATTGTCTGTCCGTCCGTCCGACTGTGCAAGCTGTAACTTGAGTAAAAATTCAGATATCTTTAGGAAATTTGGTACACATGTTTCTTGGTACCGTTGTATATCTTATATTGCAAATAGGCGTACGCAGACCACTGTCACACCCACAAAACGCCATTAATCAAAAACAAATAAATTGCCTTAACTCAGCTCCACAATAAGATATACGACTGTTTTTTGGTATACAGGATCCCATTAGGGAAGGGCATCTGCGGTTTAAATTTTGGTTTTAAAGTTGGCGTGGTCCTGCCCCCTAATAGGTTAAATGTGCATATCTCCTAACCCGCTAAAGCTATAATAACAAAATTAATTGTGAACAAATGTTTTGAGCACTTTTACCGACAGTGTGCAAATGAAATCGGGTGACAACTCCGACTCCCCATATAACGGTACTGTTAAGAACTACTCAAAGCGCGATAAACCAAGCACTAAACACGCCAAAGTCATTAAATTTTAACTCAGTGATGGTATGAGATGACTTTATAGGAACCGGCTTCAAAATTACACAGTGGGCGTGGCACCGTCCACTTCTAGGTGAAAACCCATATCTTGGGATCTGCTTAACCGATTTTAACTAAATTCGGTACATAACATTATTCTCATATATCTATGTTATAGTGTGAAAATGGGCGAAATCGGATTACAATCACGTCTGTTTCCCATATAACACCGTTTTAAATTCCATCTGGTTATTTCACTTCCCACTATGCAAATACGAGTAAAGCAACAATGACTTTGCGTGAATAATGCGTTTAAAGTGTCCCACTTTGTGACCAAAAATTGTCTTAATTGAACCAAAACTGTTCAGGCCCCAGTGCCTATAGTTGACTTTTTACCGAAAATAATATAAGTAAATAAATAAATGAAATTCTCGGTAATAGTATGTCTTTGTGACAAAAATGGGTTGCATCGGATCAATACTTCCTTCAATATAAAGTTTTGCTAATACCTGAAGTAGTTTCACGGGCTTTGATCCTTGCAAGTTGTGAGAGTATAAAATTTTCGGTTACACCCGAATTTAGAAGTTTCTTACTTGCTTTAATATAAGGTTTTGCTACACCTGAAGGAATTTCTCGGCCTTTGATTCTTGCGAATTGCAAAAGTATAAGATTCTCGGTTCCGCCCTGGTAGTCATTATCGGGAATTTATTGACCCTAGCTCCAAGATACTTTATGTAAAATATTCAAACTTCCGCTTGGCTTTATAAAAACGTAAAATGTTAGATATACAATAGTTTAATAAGCGGTCCACCTATTTCGCCAGCTCACATGTACTACTTATGGTATAACTTTTTTCGTAAATTTGATAATTTTTTGAAATTAAATGGACAGTTTTTCTTGAAAATAATGTGGTTTATTGCTGCGTATGAATGAAGTTGGTCTAGACCTTTGTTAAAACCTTATAACCCCTTCCGCTCCTCTGGTACAACAGCAACCTCATATGTATATACCACATTTTAGATCTAACCCCTTTGGTTCAGTTTATATCACATATATCATGTTTGAGTTAAAAGCTTATTTTTATTAAATTTAACATTTCAGAAAAAAAATAGTATTGGCAATAAATTAATTTATGATCAATAACATAAGTTAATAAGATACCAAATAATAATCGAATAATGAATCCAATATTCTTTTGCAACATTTTTATACTTTCGCAACATGTTGTATAGTTTTGTTTTTTAAACGGTTGTTTGCATCACCCAAAAATTAATCGAGATAGATATAGATTTATGTATACAATACATATATTTCTTCTAATATTTGGAAATAATCAGTGAATAGGTAAATTTTCCCAGCCATCATATTGAACTTATAACAAAATATAGAAGACAGCAATGTAAACAAGTTTCTTAGAATGCTGGACTTTGAATAGAGCACAAATATCTTTCCAAAAAAAAACCGCATGAAATAAATATTAGTAGTGTAGTATCAAAAGGGCTAAAGATCCTTGGTGTGGTAATTGATTAACTGATACCCCATCGATTTAAATGCTACTGTCTATTATTTCAGTGACACATTTTAATATGAAGGTCATGAGGTGAACTGTAAACTCAAAAAAATTACATTTTTACCTAGCGCCGTTGGCAGCTTATGAAAGGTTTAGATATTAAGCTAAGAAGAAAATCTACTACATATGTGTACACCATACTTAATTTTATGTAAGTTATTGTTAATTTAGCCTTAATATAACTAAATATAATGTTTTATTATGTTAGTGAATATCTAAGTAATATATAGGTATACAAAAGTACGTAGGCTGTGTATAAAAATTAACCATAACAAAACTATTATATTCTGTAGCAACATGTTGCGAGAGTAGGTATAATAAATATCAGAACACTGTGTTTGTAGTTTTTCAGTTACACTAGATTTCTTTATCAGCAAAGTGCTTTCTTCAAACAAATTTCAGTGTATTACTTATATAGTGTTTAAACTATTATTATACATACATATGTGCACATATTACACCAGTATATTCAACCAAAGTACCTATACACCGAACTGTTCACACCCGGACGGACGGAATTATATAAATATTATATATTAGTTTATTATATTTTACAACAATTTATTAATTATTAATTATGCCATGTTTAAGTAGAATGTCTGTATTACTAAGTCACTTCAGAATAGAAGACGTATGAGAGTTCTTGGTGCAAACTCTTTATATAGAGATAGTGAGCAGTCACAAGATACTGTAAGTCACGCTTATCGTAGATTAGATTCCAATGTACGTCTGTCCGAACAAATTATCAGTACAAATCAACATAGAACCAGGCGGCAAAATCTTGAGGTACGGTCTTTTGAACAAAATTTAAATACTTTTCAACATAGGGCAAGACGTCTAAATTACCAAATCCGCTCTTAAGAGCAAAACAGAAATACTCGGGGACAAAGATTTCGGCCTGAAAATTTCGAGGTTCGATCTGTTGAGCTAGGTGTAAATACTTTTCAACATAGAACAAGGCAGAAAGATCCACAAATTCGCTCTGAAAAGTAAATAAGAAATACTCTAAAAAATAGCAAAGTAAGAGTCGTGCTAAGTAAGTAAGTCGCCCAAGAAATCCTGAATATACGAATTTAGAGCGCATTCGCGATCAAAAGCAAAGAGAATATGCAAGATGAAATCCTGAAATAAGGAGAGAGGAGCGTGGTAGAGGAACACAACATCGACAGCTTAGTAGGAGGGGTATGGGGGAAGAAATTTTCAGAGAATCAGAGACGTCTTAGACAAAGTCAAGTTCACCTTCGTAGAGATAACCCGGTCAATAGGCAAATTGAAAACAAAAGGCAGTCCCAACGAATCCGATTAACGAGAGAAAATGTTATAGAACTGATAATAGTGGCAATTTAACAGATTGTTTGGTGATTTGAAGCAACTTTCACCTGTTGGAGATAGGTGGATATTCTTGCCTAATCCCAATGATGCATACATCACTTTAGGTGATTCCCCTTAGTTGGAGTTATTTAAATATTTTGAATTAACAGAAATAATGAGACAACGGGAGGATCAAGCCTTTGCAATTGCATTAAACCATATGGCATCTGGTACTATGACAAATGAGGATATATCACTCATTGAAACTCGAGTAGTTAATTCTGAGAAAGTTCCCGATGATGCCATACATTTATTTTGGTCCAATGAAGAGACAAATAGTTTCAATGACCTTAAGCTCAGTCGAATCTTAACTGAAGCTATCCCTTTTATTTTCTATGAAGTGACTCAAAAAACTACCGCCAAATGCAATATATGATTTTAGTAAAAATAATCGCGTGTGATGGATTGGTTAATGGGGTAACTCGACCACTTATGCAAATTTATTTCCATTGTTCTTTTCCAACAAATGTGTGGATTAAATTCTTGGAACCTTTTGTTGGATTGAGGGCACGACCAAAGAAGGCTCATCCTCTAGAAAGTTCCTGGACACAAATTGAAAAGTTGTGAAATATTTTCAATATAAAAGAAATTAAAAAGTTTTAATTGAAAGAAAGAAATATATGAAGGGACTACTTTATACTATCTTCAGATAAATTATGCTTCGTAGAAACTTGGAATTATCCATGTGAACATTTTTATTTACTAGGATTTATTTCAATAAAGATGCACGGAGACAAGCAACCGCAATAAAAGTGGCATAATATTTAGTATATGCAATGCATAGTATTGCTAGATCTATAGAACCAAAGGTTGTAAAAAAAATTAATTCAGTCCGCAAAGTTTAAGAAGCGGTTTTGTTTAAATGTTTCAGTATTAATATTCTGGTTCTATACAGAAATTCAGCTTTCTCTGTCAGACATTAAATTGTAGAACTTCAGGAATTCCTTACTCCTGAGTTATGCAATCAAAATGTACTAATTGTTGGAGATTTTAACAATTGCCTTAAATCTACATTGAATAAAATAGGAAATCTTCCCCAATAAAAAACTTTAGAATTGTATACATAAATATAAAATAGAAATTCAGTCACAGACTATCACTCATAGTGAACAGTTCTCTTTCTCTACCGTGTGCATTTCGTGCTAGTTCAAAGTTTTGAGTTAATATTCACTGTACTCATTGAAAATTTCTCAGTCAAGTCAGGAATAGTACTGCTGACTTTGGATTTATACCACCTCCACGAAAAAATTGACATCGCATGGCGGAATGTAAAAGTCAGACAATATGTACCAAACCCCATGCGGTGCAAAAATTGCCAGTTGCTAGGTCACACAATAAAATCATGCAAGCGATCGCCAGCATGTGAAAATTGTTATCTATCACCTCACTCCCCCACGAAATGTACACGTATTTTCTGCGCTAACTGCTCTGCCGATCACCCCTCTACATCCAACAAGTGCCCCAAATTTCTTCAGACAAAACAAATACTCAAAATCAAAGTAACAAGGAAATGCACAATGCGAGAAACAATTAAGATTCATAGAAACTCAACTCCTTCTTTCTCAGAAAATTATCAAACATTCTCTTCCACAGTTTCTCAAAACGAAAAAATAACGGAAACGCGCTCCGAATCCAGTACTACATTTCAATCAGTAAATAATAAATCCACCTCTTCTCAAACATTAATAACTAATAATCACTCAAATAATACATTCATTGCAGGTACAGTCCAAACCTGTCCTTTAAATACACAAACAAACTCTGAATCTAATAGTTTAACTCAATTACAACATCAAAACTCAACTGCTTTAGAAATAAATAAAATCGCTAATCACCAACACAAATACACATTTATTCCAGAAAAATTCCAAAGCAACTCTTAAAAACTTGATTTTCACTCAACACCTGCTCAAATTACACCCACCCATCCAATAAACACACTCACTGATCATGCCTCAATTATTAGCTCTTTTCTCCACACAATGACAACACAAGATCTCAGCTCTACAAATAATTACCCTCTTGTACTCCAAAACTACAACAACAACACTAACGAGAGTAATAGTCACATACACGTCTATCACGTAGATGACACAATGTCAGGTGAAGAAATTTCAAGCGACACTACGAATAATAATAAAAATAATCTTTAGAAAATAAAACACAATTCCCAAAAAAAAAAAAATTGAAAAAAAATAAGTAAATAAATAAAAATTATATACTATATAAATATATATGTTAAAATTATATTGTATCATTATACAAAAACCTTAAAAATCTTGCATATAATACACATGCACCCTCTAGCTTATTTTAAGACCTATTCATAAATCAAAAAGACTACTATTTTGCAATGGAATCTTAATGGATATTGGAACAATTTAAATGAGTTACAACTACTTATAAAAGACCATAACCCTAGCATTGTATCGTTGCAGGAAACTCATTTGCCCTTCAACAGCACCTATACTCCTCCCCACGCCTACGTAGCATACTTTTACAATCATACGCAAAATACGATAAATAAGCTAGGCATAAGTGTATTCATTAAAAAAGGCATACCCCACAACAAACTAAATATATCATCATCTATACCCACAATTGTCATAGAAATTAATATAGGCTTTAAAATTACGCTGATATCTATGTATATACCTGCAAGTCAAAGTTTTAACTCTAACGAAATTCTTAGAATATTAAGAAATGTTTCCACACCAATCATTTTACTAGGTGATTTGAACTCATGGAGTCCTCTCTGGGGTTCTACCACAGACAATCAAAGGGGAAATATAATAGCAGACGTGCTCTAAACGTCAAATTTGGTAGTCCTCAATGATGGCTCACCTACCCATTTCTCAACTCACCAAAGTTTCACAAATGTGGACGTAACATTATGTTCAGCAAACGTAGAACCAAAATGCTAATGGAAGATCCTAAAATATCTTCACGGAAGTGACCATTTCCCGATCATAATCACTATTGAAGCTGTCTAAAGAAAAAATCAAAAAAAACCCTAAAGTTTAACACAGGCAAAACGAATTGGCCTCAATTTCAAGCTCGCTGCAATTTCATGTACTCGCAAACCCCCGTCTCTGAAAATATAAACAAAGGAACAGCATGTATAAAAAAATATTTTATTTGTCATCTCATTTCCATATACCCCAAGCAAAAAACTTTACCCGTAAACCATCTGTATGTTGATGGAATGAGAACATTTCACTACTTAGGAGCAGAAAGCAGCAGGCTTGGGCGGCATTCCAAAAACACCGCACCGAAAGCAATTTGATGATTTACAAAAAAGCAAAAGCTTTGTTTTTATATCATTCCAAATAATCTAAAAGAGAGTGTTTTCAGCAAATAACTAACGCCATTAACCCTTCCTCGTCTCCAAGGCAAATTTGGCATAACATAAGGTTACTAACAGGCACAGCCAAGCAAAGTCACATTTTAGCTATGAATACAGATCAAGGCACCATATGTAGTGCAAATGAAATAGCAAAGTATTTTTCCTTCACTTGGTAAGAATACTCCAAAGATTCTAATTTTGAACAGGCCTTGATCTCTGAAAAGAACACAGTAAACAGAAAAGTTATAGCCCATATAATACCTCATCTGCTGCATCAGAGATTGAAAAGCCTATCAACTCCATAGAGAGTTGCTGACATCGTTTGAAAGCCCGGTAAACCTCTCGCCGATATTCATAGCTATTGTCCGATTTTCTTACATTCATGTTTGAGTAAAGTATTAGAGAAGATTATCGCCAAACGAATAATGTGAATTGCGCAAAGAGGAAACCATATAAGCTCTAACTAAGTAGCGTTGGATTCAATAGGTATACACGTATATAGCCCATACAATACCTCATCTGCTGCATCAGAGATTGAAAAGCCTATCAACTCCATAGAGTTTCAAGAAGCCTTGTACAGCTCAACAGGAAGTACACCTGGTTTTGACCGAATTTCCTATCAAATTATAAAAATTGTCCACATGAGACTGCCAATAGGTTATTAAACCTATATAATAATATTTTTGAGCAGAACATATTTCCACAATCTTGGAAATATGCTGACATCGTTTTAAAGCCCGGTAAACCTCTCGCCGATATTCATAGCTATTGTCCGATTTCCTTACTTTCATGTTTGAGTAAAGTATTAGAGAAGATTATCGCCAAACGAATAATGTGGTTTGCGCAAAGAGGAAACCATATAAGCTCTAACCAAGTAGCGTTTGATTCAATTGGTATACACGTTGTTCTTCGCCAGGTAATAAAATGGAATGTCGCAAAAAATATATTTAATTTTGTAAGAAGTTTTTTGTCAAATCGAACATTTAGAGTTAAAATTAATAATAAATATTCTGATAAAGTTCTTTTATCAAATTATATTGCTTAAAAATTATAGCTAATTATAGAGTAGAAAATGCTATTTACGCAGATGATGTTTTAATATTTTCAAAAAATAATAGCCTCAACCAGGTTAAAGATACTTTTTCTAACATCCTTAACTATATCTCAGAATGGGCTCATAGCACCGGAGCGAATATATCTTATGAAAAATTTAAAAATTGTTCAAATTTTAGTTAATGTTATATGAAAAAAAATATCGAAAATGTTTCTAATTTAAAAATTCTAGGAATCACGCTTACACAGTTATTAACAAATACGGCATCGCACCCTCTATTCCAATTGGATCTTCTACAGAGCAAATAAAAATATTCACTAGGTTACGTTTACGACACACAGCAATCACACATCAACATCTCCTAAGTGGCTTTGCTGCTCCATCTTGCCAAGCATGCAATTGTCCTCTGACAATCAGCCACATCCTTGATGCATGCAGAAAGTACTCAAACGCGAGGAACAGCATATTCCATAACAGAACACCATCAAATCTGCTAACAGAATTTTCTTTAGATAATTTAAAAGATTTGTATAAGTTTATATATCAAACTGGATTACTGTACAGACAACTTGTAATTTAAGGACTTTCCTTTTAGATCTTTATCCTTTTTTTACCTAGTTAATTACCGAATATATATTATCGTCAGGCCGATAGCCTTCGTTGCTATTACCTTTAAACTTTAATATAATTATTTATAATTATCTTTATGTTAAATAATAAATAAAATAGAAATTAATTAGTATGAGAACAAATGCAATGTAATTTGGATAAAAGTTGTTGAATAAATATATGGGTCAGCTTGAGTATACCGTCCCAGGCTTTAGAGTATAAAATGGGTATGGGCGGATAGAGGAGATTCTCCAGACCAAGAATATAGGTATATAGATATAGCCGCGGGAAACTTATAGTTTTCGAGATATTTACGTTTAAAGTTGAAAATTTCAACTATTTAAAGTACGTATTTTTTCGATTTTAAATGAATTATGCACTTATATTTTTCACTTTTATATCCACTAACACTTCACTAATTCGTTATACACATTTATTTTACATTATATAGTGCAAAAGTAGTTTAATTCAATATTCAAATTATTGTTAAATTCTATTAATTCTGACAATAACAAAGGGGTTGCAAAATGTTAAATAACCAGTGTTACCTTATCGCCATCTTTTATAATTGTACAGAAAGAAATGAAAATAGATAATACCCCAAATACAGGAATCCAAAACCTAGAGGAATAAACTATCAGAAAGCATTGATGTTAAGTAATATGTTATACCCTCTATGACAATATTACTTTTTTTTGTAGAACTACTTTTTGCGTTGGCGGCCTTCGGCCGCGCTTCAAAAAAAAATAAGCATGGTCGATCCAACACCGGGGTGTACCAAGGTCTTTTCGCGTAGAACTCCTTTTTGAGTTGGCGGTCTTCGGCCGCTCTTCAAAAAAATAACCCTGGTCGATCCAACACCAGGGTGTATAAAGGTTTTTTGCGCAGAACTTCTTTTTAAGTTGGTTCCTGTATCTAGGGTATAATCTCTCTGTTTCTTTTATTTTTCTTCGTTTGCAAAATATATGCAACACTGGTGTTTTGACATTTACAACCCTTTTGTTATTGTCAAAATTAATAAAATTTAAGAATGATTTAAATATTGAAATAAAGCTAGTTTTGCAGCATATAATATAAAAAAATGTCTAAAAACGAATTAGTGAAGTATAAGAGAATATAAAAGTGGCAAATATAAGTGTATAATTCATTTTAAATCGCAAAAATACAAGGTGCGTTCCAAATTCAACAGAACTTTAAAACAAAAAGACAAAACAAATGTTCAAAATAGTCTCCTTCTGCTTTAATACAGCTTTTTGAATGGTCCAAAAGCATGTCTAACGAGTGTTTTAGCTCGTTTCCCGGTATGGCCGCCAGTATGCCGGTGCAAGCCTTTTGAATAGCCTCCACGTCTACATAACGCTTTCCTTTCATCGGCAAATGCATTTTTCCGAAAAGGTAGAAGTCGCACGGTGCCATATCAGGTGAATACGAGGAGTGGTTGATTGTTAAAATGTGATTTTTGGTCCAATAATCGGCCACAAGCGTCGATCGATGAGACGACGCATTATCGCGCAACAAACGCCAACTTCCATCATCGCGATTTCGGGCCGAACACGTCAAATACGGCGCACCAAACGCTTCAAAACTCCAAGGTAGAATACCGCATTAACGTTTTGGCCGCGTGGAACAAATTCTTTGTGGACAATCCTTGGAATCATAAAAACAGGTCAGCATTGTCTTCACTTTTGACTTCTCCAGGCGCGATTTTATGGGTTTCGGCTCATTTCTCAATTATGTCCTCACAACTACTTTGAAAACGTTGAAACCACTCGTGCACTCTGCTACGGAATGGGCAATCATCGCCATAAACTTGTTTCATCAATTAAAACGTTTCAGTAAAAGTTTTACCAATTTTAAAACAAAATTTAATGTTGGCTCTTTGTTCGAAGCTCATTTTCGCACCGATGACAAAAACATACTGACACTTAAAATACAATAGCTTCACTTCCTTGAATTTACTGGAAGCCGATAAAGGATAGCAGATTCTAACGCACTAGTCTATATATAGATGGCGCCACTAGAGTTTACTTTGTTACTTCTTTACTATTTACTTTGGAACGCACCTTGTACAGTGAAGAGACTTTTCTCTTAAAGTATTTCATGTTTTAAGCTGCATCCAAAAGTAACAATATGAGAATCTGTGGTCATGGGATATAAATAAGAAATGAGCCGAAACCCAAAAATCCATGCCATGCAGAAATGAAAAATCCTTAACATAGTTCTTAAAAGTTCCAATATCGATTAAAAATCGTAGCTCTGGAGCGTTTTTAGTTTAAAAAATTAATTTCGTCGACTTATTGAATATCGAGATCAATATGCTTATAATTATTGGTATCATCAGGCAACAACTTTCAGCATAATTTCTCAAACTCTCGCCTTGAAAATAGTCTTCACAATTTACATGATCGAACATTTCTTTTTCATTTATAAAATTAACTTTTTCCATTTCAATTGGGGGTGTCCGATTTGAGGAGGATTACTTGCGTGAGTGGTTGAAAACTATTTTTATTTTGCTGATAATAGGGATTATACTGATTTTGAGGAGAGTAGCGTTTATGGTAATAAGAGGTATTATTATCGATTTCCATCGGCGTTGGCCTAATGTGGGTCTGTTGCAAATTGCGTGTGATAGGTTGAGTATTCCGATGAATCGGTTGCAAATAAGATGTTACTGCTAATGAGTTTCCTGCCGCAAAACCGCGAGCCAAGTCGTGACGCATATGATTAATTTCAAGTTCTTGAGCTACTGCGAATGGTTTGGTCGACCAGGCCCCGCTTTGAATACTCGTAAAGCGTTTTCCCCTGCTCGATCGTGAAGAGCTGTAATGATTTCCCTATTACCGCTATGGGTCATTATTGGTTTGTTAATTATAAGAGTAAATTACTTTTCAACTTTTTCATAGTACTCGGAAAAGGACAACCTATCTTGCCTTAACACGCCAAGTTCGTTCTTTAGAACATACAATGGTCTTTTGCTTGGAAATTAAGGTCTGTATTGAAACTTTTGAAACTAAAATTTTTGAACCCTCTGTATAATAATTCATTGTAAAGTGCGTAGCGGGGCGCCATGCCGGTTATGATGGGGAATCTCCTTTAAATTCAGATAGCGACTTAATTAGGTCTAAGCTAGCATTAACCTCTGCAACTAAGAGTTTAATAAATGCCGAAGCAAAGTCTGAACAGTTTGAGCTAATAGATTCAATTGTAAAGTTAAATGATAAAGCTGCTCCGCATGTTGATATTTAAAAACACTTTAAATCGTAGTTTGTAGCGAATATCGATTTAAAACGATATGCAAGCAATGAAAAGTATCCTTTTACCAAGCCAAATCGGGGCTTATAACTTTTTATGCAAAATGGAGATTAGAAAAGCACGTTTAATATTTCTATGAACTACATACATACAGATGTTTATTGATTTACTTAATTGTATTTACTTTTATTCAGATAAAATTGTAGACCGAAGAGTTATCGTTTTCTTATGCTTTTTACCAAACGGTTCATCAAAGCGAGAACTTAAAAAGGAATTTCTTTATTGTTTAAGTTGAATAAATTAAATTTTTTTCGCCCCATTCACGAGTTTTAAAAATAAATTGGCTTTCAAATCACAAAATATTAATTTTCTTAATAATGGAAGCGTTTGCACAAAGGGTGAAGAAAAAGTAATTTGGTCAGAAAATAAACGTGGAAAAAAATATTGAATAATAATAAAGTTTACACATGTGCTGTAAGGGGTTATGTTGTGACACTGAGAGAGCACTCGTTCGCTAAGCAAATCTAGATTTAAAATACCAATTTTGACAAAACAGGGGCCACAAAAACGCTTTTACTTTATCCATATCCGTTTAAGCAATGTTAAATTATATTTAGGGTATAATTACAAAAAAATTTTATATTATAACAAATTTATTTTATTGCCCCCTTGAAGGTTAATTACTCGTTTTTTAACACAAATTTTTTCAAAAGCTTTATTAACTTTTTCTTCTTTTCGACTTACAGACAAAGATTTATTTATGTTTTTTTTGTAGCTTATTCTGGATCTATGTTTAAGTTTTCCCTCAAGGTGAATGTGGTTCTCTTCTACGTCCTTAGCCTTATATTCCAAATTTGGGGATCCTTTATCTCTACGCCAATTATTTGATAATGCTCTGTACTTTTTATTTCAATACAATTTCACTATAGTTAAGAATATACTGTACTTTTTATATTAATAAAATTTCAGTTTATTTTTATTTATTGTGATGTCACTCGCTTGATTGCAATTCTTTTAATGTGTTAATATTCTGCGACTAAATAACTAACTAGCTTAATGTTGTTGATTTTATTTGTTGTTATGCTGAGCTGATACAATGCAGATGTTGTTTGTCGCTGAAATGATGGATCACCGCAAGGTTATAAGTAGTAAGTTTTGGCAGAAAAACCGAGCTATGTGGTTGTTGGTTGCAGTGCTGGCCATTCAGCGAATGCCACGCACATACCGCACATATTGAGCACTATGGCAAAAGCTTGAGTGCAAGAATAAGCACGGCTTAAATTATAGGATTTGGAATTGTGTTGACCCTTTGATACCTTATGCAATTCTTTTAATGTGTTAATATTCTGCGACTAAATAACTAACTAGCTTAATGTTGTTGATTTTATTTGTTGTTATGCTGAGCTGATACAATGCAGATGTTGTTTGTCGCTGAAATGATGGATCACCGCAAGGTTATAAGTAGTAAGTTTTGGCAGAAAAACCGAGCTATGTGGTTGTTGGTTGCAGTGCTGGCCATTCAGCGAACGCCACGCACATACCGCACATATTGAGCACTATGGCAAAAGCTTGAGTGCAAGAATAAGCACGGCTTAAATTATAGGATTTGGAATTGTGTTGACCCTTTGATACCTTAACTTATAAATGAAAATGTTGGCAAAGGGAGGTGAAATTTTATTGATAAATACGGACAAAAGAAGATATAGAAGCTCTGTTCAGTTTTTCTTTAAAGATTACTGGATAAACAGAAAAATCTGAAAAGTGAAAAACAATTTCATAAACATAAATTTAATATTTATTACAAATTTAACTTGTAATTCCTCCTCCATCTAAGACCACAGTCAAAACTTTTATGTCGCGCTTGATTTTCTTCTGATGCCAGGATTTTCGCGAAGAACGTACTCTGATCTAAGATAACAGGGCCGCAATAAATTGAGAACTAACACATCCTGTATGTTATTGAAGTACAACTTAGTGTTGCAGGTCAATCTTTAATTATTTAAATTTTTGTACGCAATTTTTTGAAAAACTTTGAAATTATGGAAATTGTATTTTTAAATCCAAAATGTTGCCGACCTTGGTGTGATTATTAAGTGAGTTCACAATTAAAAAAAATTACTATAAATTCAAATTACAAAATAATTTTCAAAGATTATTATATTTAGTAACATTGTAATACTCTTAACTTTAAAAAAGTACTTAACAATTCAATTGTTTACTGGGCTTCAGATATGGTTAAGGGTTTTATTTTTATATTCTTGCAACACGTTGCTGCAGAGTATAATAGTTTTGGTCACCTAACGGTTGTTTGTATCACCTAAAAGAAATCGAGTCTTCCTTGGTAATAAATAAAGGACGAAAGGCATATTCGGCCACTGCCACGCCCACGACATTAATCGAAAACATATAAAATGCCATATATATTAGGTAAAGTAAAAAGTTCGTTCGGTTTTTTATTGATTTTTCAAAAGATGATTTGTGTGCATTTGTCCGATTTAAGTCAAATATGTGTCGTTTTGTTCATAAACTTGTTGCTCCCGGAGCTTCTAGCGCGTCACCAAAAACGTGTGTGACCTGGCGTTGTCCTGATGGAACACAATTCGGCCTCTGTTGATCAAAGATGGCCTCTTCTGGATGAATGCTGCCTTCAAGCGGTCCAGTTGTTGGCAGTAGACAGCCGAATTAAGCGTTTGGTCATAGGGGAGCAGCTCGTGATAGATGCGTCATCCCACCAAACACACAGCAAAACCTTCCTGGTCGTCAATTAGGTCTTGGCCACCAGCTTGGCCGCTTCCCCGAACTTTGACCACGACCGTTTGCGCTCGATGTTGTCATAAGTGATCCATTTTTCATCGCCAGTCACAATCCGCTTCAGAAACGGGTCGATTTTGTTGCGATTCTGCAGCGATTTGCAGATGGAAATTCGGTCCATCATGTTTTTTGCGTTAGTTCGTGTGACACCCAAACATCGAGCTTTCCTATTTGAATCCAAGGCTATACAAATGGTTCCAAACGGTTTTCTGGCTTATCTTTAGTTCCTCAGCAATTAAATAAGTGCTCACGTGACGGTCTGTTTCCACTATTTTCATGATTTTATCGCAATTTTCGACGACAGGCCTCCCGACGCGTGGTGCATCTTTGACATCGAAATTACTGGAGCGAAACCTAGCAAACCACTTTTGTGCTACACGTTCGTTTACAGTATCGGGCCCATAAACTAAATTAATTTTTTCAGTCGCTTTGGCTGTTTTTTCGCCTTGATCGAAGAAAAATTGTAAAATATAGCGAATTTTCTCTTTGCTGGTGTCCATCTTTGACGACCGCTCACAACGTACTGAGTCAATCAATCGAAAAACTGTCAAAGACAAACTTTTAGTGCGAATAAACACGTTTTCAGCGCCGTATAGTATGACTTGATGGGACACGTAACACTAATACTATGGAGAGTAACGCCGTCTCTTAGATAAAAACCGAACGAACTTTTTACTTTACCTAATATATCATTTATAATGCCCTTCAATTTGTCTGCCCCAAAGATTTTAGTATGATTTTCGCTGACAGAAAGTAAAATATTTATAGTAAATAAATAAATATAAATCCATTTACGATTACGTCGAACAATTTAGTTGAACCCTTTTACGACATTTTTTAATATTAACCAAACCTGAAGATATTTCGCCGGCTTTAAACCTTGCAAGTTGCAAGAGAATGAAATGTTCAGTTACATCCGAACTTAGCCCTTCCTTAAATGTTTAATATAATATTTTGCCAGCACCTGAGGGAATTTCCCAGGGTTTGATGCTTCTAAGTTGTAAGAGTATAAAATGTTCGCTTACACCCGAACTTAGCCCTTCCTTACATGTTTCATTTATTTCTTTAAAATTTATGACACAGAGTGCATGAGTTTCGTTCACCTAACGGTTGTTGTGGGCTAAAAGTTTTGAATAAAGAGCATGTCCCCGCCCTCTAAGAGGTTTTAAGCACATATCTCCTAAACCACTAAAGGTAAAATATCCAAATACACTAGGACAAATTCTAAAAAAACTCCTACTGACAGTTTGAAAATGGAGGATATCGGATGATAACGCTACCCACTTTCCATATCACAATTCTTATAAAACTAAACTGCTATAGACATAAAATTTTACACTCGAGATAGCACGAAAGTGTTTTATAGGAACCAAAATTGGTGAAAACCCATATCTCGGAACCTATTAGGCCGATATCAATCAAATTCGGCATGTATAATAATAACAAAATCAAAAATCAGACAAAAACCACACCTACTTCCTACAATTTTAAATTCCATCTGATTCTTTTCATTTCCAGTATAGAAAATCCAGTATTGAAAATCACTATATCCAGATAAAACTTTGCACGAACAGTACTTTCTTATATATATAAAGCAAGCTTCATTGTATTAAAAGTTTTTATTGTAACGTAATACGTTATCCTGAGTCATTTAAATATTTTTTTTACAACATTATATTACTGTGGGTTGTTTTAATAATGTTAAAATTAGCAACTAATTGTACATATACATAGGTATATACATGTATGTATACCTATAATAGCATTTAATAACATATAATAATATGTTTTCCTAAATAGACAGTAACTACCTTATATGTGGCATTTCCGGGCTTGCTTTCTTCGCACAGGAATCTTGCTATTATAGTCTCACACTTGTTATCGAAATTTGAGTCAACAGCACTAAGCTCGAGAGCATTTGGATACTGAGCCAATGCTTGAATATTACTTGCCATTGCCACCTTTGCTGCAGTTTCGACTTCTGTACTTACTATTTCCCCATCAGTATTGCTAGTAATTGCAATAATTTGAAGATTATATGACTGACACGCATAAAGCCCATTAATAAATATTGAAGTGGCATTCGTTTGTTTATCAAAACGTTGACTAGATGAGTTCTTATTAATCCATCCCGTTAAACGGTATTCTATTACACATAAATCAGCATACCGAGGAGGGCTCCATGAAATATTTAATGCTTGTGTTTCTGATATTATGTTGACAGCTTGGACAGGTGTAGGTTCTGAAAACAACACAATAGAAAAATCCCAAAAAGGGAAATTAAAATAAGAGTGAAAATTATCAAAAAAAAAGTCATTTGCGTTTTCAAAAGGTAAGACGATAAATTTTGGTGTAATTTTATAAATTTCTATTTATCTATTTTTATATGCTTGCAACATGTTGCTACAGAATATAATAGTTTTGTTACCTAACGGTTTTATGTATCACCTAACTAACTAATTGAGATAGATATATGGTTGTGTATGTATATACAAATTGTCAGAATGGCGAGACGAGTTGAAATACGGGTGACTGTCGGTCCCTGCAAACCGTATTTTAAGTAAAAATTAAGATATCTTGATGAAACTTAACACATGTTCCTTGGCACCATCGAAAACTTATAAATTGCCAAAATTAAGCAGTAAATTAACATACAAAACTGTAAATTGGTACAACGAATCACATTAAGGAGGGGCACTTGTAGTTTGAAAGTATTTATAAGTGGGCGTGGGCCCACTTCTAATAGGTTTAATGTATATATCTCCCAAACCATTCGAGCTATATGATACAAATTTACATAGGACAAATTTTCTGGACACTTCTTACGACAATGTGAAAATGGTAAAATCGGATGATAACCCCGCCCAATCCGCATACAACGGTACTGTTAACAAATACTTAAAGCCCTATAAATCAATAACTAAATACGCCAGAGACATTAAATTTTACCTCCGAGATGGTGTGAGGGGACTTTACAAGAGCCACAGTCGAAATTGGTCGATTGCGTGGCACCGCCCACTTTTATGTGAAATCACATATCATGGCACCTGCTCGACTGATTTCATCCAAATCCCTCAGCTCCTATATACTTAATATAAACATTTTAAACTTCCGGGTGACTTTGCACCACTCATATGTATATCGGCCAATACGTGTATTATCTCAACCAAAATGGGAAAGCGTGTTTAACTCATAACAGTGTATCTTTGTGTCTAATATGGATAAAATTGGGCACAAACTACTTAGCCTCCATATAACTAATATCAAGATTTTCGAACATCCGACTGGCTTAGTACCATATAATTGGTATGTGAGGTATCTTAATGAATGTATTATTTATATATAAAATTTCTTCAAAATATGTCCTTGAGTATAACTGAGTCATCTCAAAATTAATGAAATTAGCTCGTCCCTTTCTCTATTCCCAATATACCCCATAAAATAATTTCCGTCTTTCCACCTGTAACTAAACCGTTCAGGTTAGTCAAAATGTGTGATATATTAATGTTACTAAGTGGACAAGTTTTCTTAAAAACTATGTTGTTTGGCGCTGAATTATAGTAACATTGGTCTATATACCTTGCTCCAAACTTCATATCCTAAATATAATGAATTCCGAATAATGGATATTTAATTCTTCCGCAAGATTTTTATACTCTTGCAACCTCTTGAAATAATCGAGTTAGATATAGGGTTTTATAATATATAAATAATCAGGATGATTAGAAGCGTTGAAATCCGAGTAACTGTCTGTCTATCCGCCCGTCCGTCTGTGCAAGTGATAACATGAGTAAAAATTGGGATATCGTAATGAATCTTGGTACAAGTGTTCCTTGGCAAAAATGTAAGGAAAAGTTCGTAGATGGGCGACATCAGACCACTGCCACGGCTACAAAACGACCTTAATCGAAAAGCTGTTAAAAGCCATAACTAAGCTTCAAATTAAGATAGAAAACTGTAATTTCGCGCAGGGAATTGCAGTAGCAAGGGTCACCTGTGGGGTAAAAACTTCCCAAATCACGATTCTGATAAAAACTACTTAAAAAGCGATAAATCTATAACTTAATGTGCCATAGACATAACATTTTACACTCGAGATGGTACAAAAAGGCTTTATATGAGCCGGTGTCAAATTTGGATGATGCTTATATCTCGGAACCTAGTAGACTGATATCAACCAATTTCAGTATATAATATTATTCTGAATATCCAACATTAAAGTCCGAAATCCCTTAAAAACCACGCTTAGTTCTCAAAATTTTAAATTCCGTCTGATTATTTCAATTTCCAGTATAAAAAATCCAGTATAGAAAATCAATACAAGGTGCGTTCCAAAGTAAACAGTAAAAAAGTAACAAAGTAAACTCTAGTGGCACCATCTATATGTCGACTAGTGCGTTAGAATCTGCTATCCTTTATCGGCTTCCAGTAAAAATTTCATGACATTTTATCTATTGGAAGTGAAGCTATCGTATTTTTTTTTTTTTTTTGTATCCGAAGGAGGAATCTTCTGAAAGATACTGCCACAAGTGACAGCATGCACGATTCATACCGCACGCTAAGTGCACCTCTTTCGGGACCACGCCCGGTCCATATTTTTTAATATGCCGAACTCATGCAGCGGTACGCTTACGTGCTAAACCCTTAACTCCGTCAGCTTCGTATGTACCTTGCGGGACTACCGTAAAGTATTTCTTCGCAAGGTTAGCTTAGCCTATGGGCTCTTCCATCTCAGTGTACTTATGCTCTATCTATTGCTCTCATTTCTCTCTTTCGCAGCCGTTCTGCTCTTCTCAGCTCTATTAGAACTTTTGCAGCCAGGTCTTTTACGGCGAGCCACACCCGCTCAGACCGCAGCATATGTAGTACTAAGTTATCCGGTGATACGGGTTCTGCTATCTGTTGTTCTAGCAAGGTCCTTTCCACATTATATCGCGGGCAATAGAAAAAAATGTGTAGAGCATTCTCATTACTATTACCACAAAAGGAACACGTCACTCCGTTATCATGGCCATACTAGTACAGGTACTCTCTAAAGCAGCCATGGCCAGTTAATAATTGCGTCATATAAAAGTCCGTTTGTCCGTGCTTTTTTTCCACCCAGGCTTTCACATTTTTGATAAGCCGGTGCGTCCACCGCCCTTTGGTTGTTTCGCTCCAACGGTTTTGCCACTCGTTTAGACGGCATATCTGGTGGCATTATACCGGATATAATGCTAACAGCTTCTTGCGATACTGTGCGGAATGCACTGGCTATTCTGATGGCGCTTAGTCTGAAAATTGAAATCTATATTTTATGGGTCAGCGCTTGTGCCCATACAGGTGCCGCATACAACATAACTGATTGGTGGGCTTTTGCTAAAAGTAACCTTCTCGCTTGATTTGGTCCACTTATGTTAGCCATAATTCACGCTAGTGCCGAAATCACTCGGGCAGCTTTTTCGCAGGTTTTTTCAATATGCATCTTGTAGTTGAGTCTCGCATCGATTATGACACCCAGGTACTTTAGAGATGGCTGAGTTCTAATTTCATGCCCGTCAATGTTCAGAGTAATGGTTTTTAGTTTTTTTCTGCTCGAGATCAGGACTGCTTCTGTCTTCTGCCCCGCCAGCTGAAGTTTTGACGCGTCGAGCCAGTTTTTAATTTTCTGAGATGTAGCTACACAAACGCTTTGGATTTGGTGCAGCTCTTTTGCTACTATTGCCACAGCAATGTCATCCGCATATCCAATTGTATTTTATGTGTCAGTATGTTTTTGTCATCGGTGCGAAAATGAGCTTCGAACAAAGAGCCAACATTAAATTTTGTTTTAAAATTGGTAAAACTTTTACCGAAACGTTTCAATTGATGAAACAAGTTTATGGCGATGATTGCCTATCCCGTAGCAGAGTGCACGAGTGGTTTCAACGTTTTCAAAGTGGTCGTGAGGACTTAAATGAGAAATGGGCCTAAACCTAAAAAATCGCGCCTGGAGAAGTCAAAAGTGAAGACAATGCTGATTTGTTTTTATGATTCCAGGGTATTGTCCACAAAGAATTTGTTCCACCCGGCCAAAACGTTAATGCGGTATTCTACCTTGGAGTTTTGAAGCGTTTGGTGCGCCGTATTTGACGTGTTCGGCCCAAATATCACGAAGATAGAAGTTGGCGTTTGTTGCACGATAATGCGCTGTCTGATCAATCGACGCTTGTGGCCGATTATTTGACCAAAAATCACATTTTAACAATCAACCACTCCTCGTATTCACTTGATATTGCACCGTGTGACTTCTAGCTTTTCGGAAAAATGCATTTGCCGATGAAAGGAAAGCGTTATGTAGACGTGGAGGCCATTCAAAAGGCTTGCACCGGCATACTGGCGGCCATACTGGGCAACGAGCTAAAACACTCGTTCGACATGCTTTTGGACCATTCAAAAAGCTGTATTAAAGCAAAAGGAGACTATTTTGAACAATATAAATTGATTTTGCCGATAAAACCATTTGTTCTGTCTTTTTTTTTTAAGTCCTGTTTACTTTGGAACGCACCTTGTATATCCAGATAAAACTTTGCACGAACAGTGCCGTTGAGATGTGCCACCTTATGATCAAAAACTGTCCAAGTCAGACGTAAACAATTCCAGCCCCCAGGTACTGTATGTGCGGATTCCAGTTCCTATTGCGAACTTTTTACCGAAATTATCGGTCAACATGTTAGATATATTATTAAAATTCGAAAAGAATTTTCTCCGTCTTTGATTCTTGCAAGTTGCGAGAGTGTAAAATGTTCGGTTACACGCGAACATTGCCGTTCCTTACTTGTTACTTTTCTGGCATAACAATCAACGTTCTCTGGTATATGTATGCCTTATGCCGAAAATACATGCGCAAGTTTCTGCATGCATCAGAAAAATTTGTACTTATTTGACAGTTGCTATTCTGCACCTTAATGCAGATCTGCATGGCATGTGAAATATGAATTTTCTGTGCAAAATCAATACAATAACAAAAAAACAACTGAGCTGAGCATTAAATAAAAAATATGCTCAGAGACTTGCTTTGATTTACCAGACACATGTTAGTCTTTTGCTTATATATTTGTACGTTTATATGCAAACATTGATGACAATATCATATTCAGAATTTTTATGAATGCAAGTTAACGCCACCGCTCACACATAGCACTTAACTGTAAAGTAAACATAAAAGCTTAAATGAAAAGTAACTCTAAGCAATAACAAAATATCGCCAATCACTATTTGTAA